GCCCCCCCCCCCCCCCCCCTCCCCCCTCAATCCTTTCAAAGTCACCTACGTTATGGGTTTATCGGTCTTAATTTTGATGAGATGCAGCCAAAGTACGAATACATGCAGCATGAACCGTAAATCAACACGAGATGCCCGTTTTTCAAAGAGTGCTTTAACTCAAACTCGATTTATCCTCTACAATTATCGTTCATCATAGCTTTAATAGATTCTCGTTCATCGCACCTTTAGCAGATCTACCTCTGCGTTGCAAAAATGCAAAAAAAGTATTAAAAAATGAGGAGAAGATGTAAAAACCTTGGCACGACAATCTTTCCCTGTCATTGCCCCAACAACCACGTTGTTTTCAAAATCATCAAGACATCGGCACAAATACGATCCTTTCGTATTCAGACAACTCTAAAAATCTGATTTCAAATACGATGCTTTTCAACGCTTTCATTCTCGTCTGCTGTTGCTTCTAAGTTTTCATAACTACAAACAAAGGATATAATATCGAAGCCATCGGAATCTCGTTCACAACTAAGTGGAAAAAAAGTGTATGACTAGAACACAGTTTTGTGTGCCCAGTGTTTCAGGAACTGGAATCCTAATGGCTCGAAGAGTTTGCATCAGCGACGCAAGCCCAAAGTAAAAGATGATCCTCATTCTAAAATTCTCCGATAAATCTCAAACATTCAACAAAGTGAAATGCTGTAATAAAAAAACTGCAGAATACCTGGGTGCAAGTATTGTTACCAGCACATTCATCGATATCGATGCAATCGTATGGGTCTTCTGGATTCGGCTGGAATCCATCCCGACAATGGCAATAGTAGCCGTCGGCAACGTCAGTACAGAGGTGCTTGCAGCCACCATTTTCATTGTTTGTCTCACATGTAACACCATTTTTTTTGGCTAAAACAAATAAAATGCAGAATTTTCCTGCATAGCGTGCCCTCTTTGAGATAGTCCAGAACTTAAAAAAGCGCTGGTGATTTAAAGGATCTAAAAAACCCTGGATCAGATAAAAGAAGCAAAAGAAAATGTTTTTTTGGTTCTTAACTTTCCTATGTTCTGCTGTTTCGAATTG